CACACACACACACACACACACACACACACACACACACACACACACACTCACACACATACCTTCATATTCTTTGCATCTGTGAGCCAGGGACAACTCAGTGCACACATCCCAAATCAAACCCTAACAACATCCCAATTGTAAATCACGTGTTCTTCCTATGTTCTTAGGGAGGGCAGGTGGGATTATTTAGCTCCAGTTTCCAGAAAAGTACATAAGCCTGGAGGACACATGGGCGTTAAAACCATTTTTAGAACCCAAGACTAGGGCTTCGCTCTGAAGAATGTCTGCACGGTCGAGATGCATACAAAATGATGAAACTGGTAAGGGCTTCTGGATTGTGTGTGTACACATTCATATGCGTGTATGCTTGTGTGTGCACATGTGTGTGGAGACCTGCCATCCACTTCAGGCATTTTCCTCCAAAACAAGGTCTCTCTTGGAGCCTGGACCTCACCTGCTTTGGCTAGGCTGGCTGTCCAGCAAGCTCCAGGGTTCTTCCTGTCTCTACCTTCCCAGTACTAGTATCCTAGGGACTCACTGCCAAGCCCAGGTTTTTATATAGATGCTGGGAATCAGAATTCAGGTCCATGTCTGTGTGGCAGGCCTTTTAAACTGAGTCAGCCTCAGTTCCTGGACTAAAAAACAAAACAACACAACAACAACAAACCCAAAACACTGCAATACAGGCTATTTAAGGCTTCTGGCAGGGAACATTTTATTTTTTGGTTAAAGCCACAACAAATAGAAATGTCATAAAAACAAACCTGTAAACACAGCATTAGAACTTTGGTTTCACTAAAACCTCTCCCACCTGAAACATCTGAGGTACAAAGGCACCAATAGGTGCCACACAGTTTGGTTCTGCAGCAGCCACACCAATGCTACCCTTGGAGTCAGAGCAGGCACAGGCTGGCCAGAGTCTGGGGTTCAGGTCACCCAGGACTCGGCCCAGGACACACTCTCTCAAATTCAGACAAACGCTGGCTCCTCCGCTGACCTGCCTGACAGGAGCTGGAACATATAAAGGAATCTGTCACGCTGAACTTGAGGATGACTTGGGCTGTGGGACCAGGAAGGAGCAGAGCAGTCGAGGATGTCAATCAACTTCTGTTGTCCCACAAGGCCTCAGGAACTCTTGCCCTCGTTCATGGAACCACTTATTGGAGACTGTGAACAGAAAGCAGGGATGTTAGGTATTCAACCTAACAGTTCAGCGGCCCAATCAATGCTTTCCATGACAACCACTGCCCTGTGATGGGGGGGGGGACTCCAGAGCAACACAGCTCAGACTTCCAGCCACTCACGCACTGTTGAAAACACATGGGCACACAGGTAATGGTACAAAAGTCTACCAGTGATTCGATGCATGTATGCAAGTTGCCATGGGAACGGAGCCAAAGGGTATCTCATGATGTTAGGGAAGCAGGACTGACTCAGAACAAGAAGCTGAACTGAAGCTATCCTGGAAAGAAGGCAGGCATATCATGTGGCTGCCACTCACTCCAAGTGGGTTGGATGCAGAAAGCAGGATGAGAAAGTCCTCAAAGGCAGAGGCCACCCGGGGAAGTGTGAAGGACATCAAGAAGATGGGATGGTGGCAAGCAGGAACTGAGGAGAGGGATGGGCAGGGCTTGGCCATGAGCCGCACGCGGGCCCTGTGAGCTATAGAGCAGAATCTTAGTGCTGTGGGCACCCTAGCTGGAGCACGGGTACTAGCATTGCCAGGTCACAGGCACTCACCATGACTCTGTTCTCAAACATGGACTCTCTTATGAGGAATACAAAAGTAATGCAGGGCAGATGACACAGCTCATGTCACAAAGCTGACAACCTAAGCTTAATCCCCAGAACCCACAACATGGAAGGGGAGAACCCATTCCTTCAAATTATCCTCTGACCTTCACATGTGTGAGATGGCTCATGTGTGTGCGTGCATACACGCACACACACACACACACACGAGTTTTTAAAGTAATGCACTACTCAAGTCAAAGATTTTAAAATACAATTTAATACCTGAACTTACCTACACAAACTATCCAGAAGACTTGATTAACAGCATATATAGTAGAATGGTAATCTTTAATTAAGCATGCAATGCTTACATGTGTCATGTTTGTGAAACACGTTTGACATCTAGTAAACTGACTTTCTCTATACTTTTCCTCCCAAACCAGTAACTACTTCACCATTTCTGCGAGCCCATCACAGTCTAGTCCACGCCTTTCCCAGCTCTCCACAGCTGCTACCAGGGTGAGGCTCAGGCTCACCCTCTGCGCTGTGCCCCAGGCTCTCACATCTTAGCGCCAGTCTCATCTCAGGACTCCCCTTCTTCAAGGGACAAGGACAGCTAGCCTCACCACCACCACCCTGTTACCTACACTGCCGGCTGTAGCCGCATGTGTCTTTCGTGCCTCACACGGACGCCCTCTGTCCTCTCTGCTCCCAGCTCTTTCGATGCACCACTAAAACCCTTGCCAGAGCCCACATCTCTGGAGATCTATCCTGGACCTAGGGTGCTTAGGCAGCCCCGGCCTCCTTGGCTCTCCGAGCATTGACAACCAGCTGTGGAAGCTCTGGCTGGGTGGTATAAGCAGCCAAGACAACCTTTTGTGATGCAGAGTTGACAGCAGTTAGCAGTTGCTTCCACCTCTGCATCTAAGGCCGAGGACCGCCTCAATGCTGCCCCTCACATCACTCACCCCACTTGCAGCCCACGAGTACGGGACAGGCCGCGTGTCTCGTCCGATAATCGCCTTCCCCACTCCGCAGAAGGTTGTACCAGAAGACAGCTGTGCCCTGGGAGAGAACGAGCTGTCAGAGTGCATCCTAAACATCAGTTACAAGGACCTGCTCCGGGAATCATCAGTCATCCACCCCTCGGCAGAAATTCCCCTCCTTTTCTGTGTTTGGGGGACAGGGCTCAAACGGAAGAAAGTTCAGTAATGCACCTGCCCTGCCTCCCTTCTCCATGGGTACAAGTGGGGACCACAGTCCAGAGCACGGGTGGGAAGACAGTCAAGTAGACAGCCCGTGGCACTGGGGGACATTGGCAAGGTCTGAGCCCTGCTTCAACGCGTGACCCTGAAGAATCACACTCACCTTCTTGGGCCAAATTGCAGCTCCCAAGTCAGGAAAGACGGTGGCACCTCCAGCTTCTACATCACTCATCTGGGAAGATAAGACAGAGCTTGGTCTCTCTCCCCAAGGACAACAGAGCAACAAAATCTTAAGAACACAAGATGCACAGGTCACCCTTACACCAAGGATGAGCAGCACTTGCTGGAAGTTCGGTCTATGACTGGCTCAGGCCAGAAAAAGGTTTCCCACGTGCGGCTTAATCCGTGCTGTTCATCAAGAAGGGCTCTACGCCTGGGGGTTCAAGAGCTAAAGCCCCCAGAAGAGCAACATTCAGGACATCCTTGAATAGGCACATCCTGCGTCCATTTAGAAAACGACCTTCTTAGGCTGGAGAGACGGCTTGGCAGTTAAGAGCACACTGTTAAACACAACCCAGGTTCAGTTCCCGGCACTCACATGGCAGCTCACAACCACCTGTAACTCTAGTTCCAGGGGATCCAATATCTTCTTCTGGCCTCTGTGGGCACCATGCATGCATGTAGTACATAGAACATATATGCACACACATATGCAGACAAACACTGATACAGATAAATACATATCAGAGAGAGAGAGAGAGAGAGAAGAAAGGGAAAAAGAAAATGCCTATTTTTACCCTGACCCCCATCTTGAATTCTGACCCACTGCCGGGGCCTTGCCTATGCCAGTGTGCTCAGCAGTGTGCACAGAGCTCTGGACAGGAGTTCCCTATGGCTTCTAACCTCAGCAGTACCCCCTTCCCTATGTGGCCGTGTTTCTGGCTCTAGTTGCTCTAATCAGCCCTCCGCCTTCCCAGAATGCTGCTCTTTCCTGTTTTCTCCTATAAACTGCACTTTTACTGGCAGTGCTTTGTTTCTGCTGTAATAAGAATTGGAGCTAAGATATTTCCCAGTGTGACACATACAGCCTGCCTGGAGGTTGGGCACTCGGCAGGCTCATGATAAGGAGGACAAAAAGCTCAATGGCTTCCCCATTGGTTCCTCAATGGGTTCAAGCCCAGCGACTCTCTAAGTCGGCCTCACTCGCCTCTCTCTCCAGAAACACCAGCCTTTGCCTGTTTCGCGACACCCCAGATCTCTTCCCTTCCAGGCCCCCACACACCTTCTTCTTCGCCAAATATGTTCCACAAATTTCCATTTAATTTTCAAGTCTCAACTGACATGCTATTTCCTAAATGAGGCCTTTACTGAGCCCCGTGCCCGGGCAACTTCTTCAGTGTTTGTCTCCATGGTAACTAAATAATCATCTTTCCCATGCTTCAAGTGAGTCTCCCATGTCAGATGTCAGATGTCACAATGGAGACCACATAGGATCTTCTCAAAAGTGTATGTGCATAGCAGTCTCCAGGATAATTAAAACTTAAAGCCCGCCCCAAAAAAGCTTTGTTTCTAAGTTCATTGACTCTGCATCCTTTGACTGGGCTATTATAACAGAGAAGGGTGAACTGACAGCCTATGGATGGAGGCGGGGCGGGGCAGCAGGAGGGGAGCTGGCTCCGCAGCCTCTGAGGAAACAGAGGCAGTTTCCATCTAAAAGTACCTCCTGGCCGCCTCTGCTCTCTGCCACTGAGACAGAGCCCACCGTGGTTCTCATTCCCAAAGCTCAGAGTAAACCTGCATCCATCAAAAGGGAAGCAGAACACGCCACGGCAGATACATATTAAAGACAGGGACTAAGGGCATCAGCCAGCAAGAAGTCGGCATTCCAGGGCTCCACTTGGATGAGGTTATGTGGTCTCAGAGAGCTGGGTGGCGGTGAGGAAGGGACTCCGGAATTAGTGTTTAATAGAAATAGAGTTTCCGTTTTATGAGGTGAGAAGAGCTATGGTAACAGATGGGATATGGTTCACATTAGGGATGGATTTAATAAAAATCACGGAAGCACACAGAAAATTGTTATGATGGAAATGTTTATATTATCTCTATTTTACCACAGCTAAAAAAGATATGGGGGGGTGGGCAGAAAAGAGTCAGGGAGTAGAAGAAGGGCAAGCTCACAGATGGGAACAAAAGCCAACTCTCTATACTCTAGCCAAGAAGGGCGCTGAGGAAGCCTATGCAACAATTGATGCTATGAGCCCGGATGGGGTGGGATGTGCAGGAGCTCTCTGGCCCCAGGGGCTCCACCGGGCCCATCAGGCGCACGCATCATACTCACGTAGTTTAGAAACGTGGCCACACGATTCCCAGTCCCTAAACGCTTGAAAGCATCTTGCTCATCGCTCTATAAAATTAAGTGAGAGTGAACAGATGTGCCCAGCCCAGTACTTACATAGTTAAGAAACGTCGCTAACCTATTCCCCTCCGTTTTGAGGCCGCTGTCAAAAGGTCGCTGCAATAGACAACAACTTTTATCTAAGTTTGCAACTAACTTACCCGCCCACCCAAAGGACTGGGACCCGAAGGGTCAGGGGGATGCTAAGGGTGCCGTAGAACAGCAGGGACATGGGACAAGGCTACAAAGGGAACCCTAGCAAGAACACAGGGAGGGGGAAGGAGGTCAGAAAAGCTTTCACAGGGCCCTAGCGAGATCGTTTGCTTTATTATTGGTCCAAACATTCCCTAACATCGACAGGAAACAGCGAGGCTTCACTGGGCCCTGCAGGTGCTTCACTAACAACATAGTCTTTCCCGGAGGAGGGATGGCGTGAAAGCTAAAATGCTTCTAGAAGCTCTACACTCATCAAACCAGCCAGGGCAGAGCCCTTCAAAACTACTAGTGATGGAGGGCTTACCCTAGAGAAGTCAAAGTGTGGTTCGTACTGTCCTCCCATTCCGTAGTTTGCGACCTGATGAGAGATTACAGCATTGACTTTGTCAGCATTGAGGCCATCCCCCAGAGCTGCCCAACTCTCCATGGAAACCATCTCCCTAGGCCTGAAAACCACCCCCAACTTTTGTGTGTATGTACTAAGTGTGTGTGGTATATGTATATGGAGGTGTGTGCACACGTGTATGCACACGGAGGCCAGAGGAGAATGCTGTGTGTCCTGCACCATCATACTCTACCTTATTCCGTTGAGACAATGAACCTGGAGCTAGGCTGTCACCCAGCAAGCCTGTGGGTGCTCTCCACAGCACTGGGGTGGCAGTAAATGCTTAACCAGGCTCAGCTTTTTGTATGGATGCTGGGAATGTGAACTCAAGGTGCATGTGAGTACATATTCGCTCCAGAGATGGTGGTCCTGTTTTTGGAGGGTGGAATGTTTGGGACCTAGATAGCATAATTAGACCACTGGGTGTGGGCCATGAAGGTTTTATCTGCTGTTGGCTCTGGCCAGCCCAAGTCCTCTGGTTTTTGATTCGGCAAGATGTGAACAAGCTGTGTTGCAAGTTCCGGCTGCTGAGCCTCCCCACCATGACGGACTAAAATGTGAGACAAAGCAGACCTTGCCTTCATCAGTTTGCTTCTGTTGGGTCCTCTGATTAGAAGAATAACTAACAGTGCAGGTGCCAGCTCAGACCCAGGGACCAGCCTACCTGCAACAGTTCTGCAGTCTTCACGGTCAACCCTGTGATATGCTGCATTCGACGGTTGACGCGGGCCACAACAGGGTCATCATCCTCCTCTAGCCAGGAGCTGCACAAAGAAAACAGCAAAGATAGAAGGCATGGGCAGGCTTATGTGAGACCTCTGGTCCCTTCTAGCCCAGCTAGTGGGCAACCCAGGGTGACTGCCCCAGAGAGAGAAGGTGCAGCAAGCAGGACAAGCCGGCATCAGTCCTCTTTTGCCTCCTCGCCGGAAAGCTCCGGAGTTGGGCTTGAGTGGCTGTCCCCACCCCACCCCACCCACAGCTACCTCTGCTCACCTTTTGGAAACTCTGTAGCTGGCAACAGTGAGGACACCTGTCTTGGGGTCACGAACAGTAGCTCGTGCGAGCTAAAAGAAAGAGGACGGAGTTATCCTTTTTTGGTTTTGGGTGTTTTCCCAGAGAACACTGAGCCCAGATGGGCCAGCCGCATCAGTGGGAAAACAGCTGCAGAAAGTAGCTCTAGCCAAGGTCCCATGATACTTCAATCCAGTCTCCACTTCCCTCTGTGCTATGAGGCCTGGCCACACCCTCCTTGCTCATTACCCACCCCTTCTGCTACCCAGGTTGATGCTGTCAGCACTGTTATGTCTATGAATTCTGCTTGGTCTGTACATGTATTCTCCAAGCATGGCCTTTCTTGACAGGCCCACACCGCACTGCCTGAGCATGGCTTGAGCTCTGGATCCACCACACTCCGACCGGGCCATCTCTGAGTCTCAACCCGAGGCTTCTGTTGACATGGTCAAGTTTTCCCATCCTTCTGCCAAGAAGCTACCCAAACCTGTCTGCTGTACCTCCTGCCCTGCTTGGCTCCTACTGTGCAACAAGGAAAATAGTTTGCTGTCTGTCTCGGCCCTCCCAGAGTCAACGGAGAAAACGGTAGGAATCTGATGTACATGAACTGCTGTGCAGAAGCCACCTATTGTGGGCAAGCACACACGAATACACACACAAACACACACATACATACACAGACATACACATACACACACAAACACACACATACATACAATAAACACACATACACATACAAACACACACAAACACACACATACACACACGGACATACACACACATACATACACATACACACACATACACATACAAACACATACATACATACATGGACATACACACACATACATACACATACACACACATACACATACAAACACACACATACACACACGGACATACACACACATACACATACACACACATACACATACAAACACACACATACATACACATACACACACAAACACACACATACACACACATACACATACAAACACACACATACATACACATACACACACATACACACACAAACACACACACATCCACACACACACCCTTCCTCTACCTCATCTCCCCAGTCTCCATATAAAGGCTTAATGGAACTGCCGGGAGAAATACACTTGTCCACAGCAAGAATACAGGTCCCTTCCTTGTGTAGACTGTCCTGATAGGCTCATATGATGCAGGCCTGGTACGGACAGGCATGTTCAGGCAGAAGTATAGATGAACCAAACAGAACAGTGCTGACTCTTACTTCCAATAACTATCTGATCGGTGTCAACTGTGTGCCAGGTGCTATCCTGAGAGACTGAGACATGACCCTTGCCTTCACAGAACTTGGTCAAGTGGAGATGATAGAAAACCACCCAAGTAATTAAGCATGGGTGAGCTTAATATCCTGTGAGAATGCAGCCAAAGGTTACAGCAGCATGGGTACTGCTGAGAGCTGGACTAATGAGGCTTTCTCTGAGCCCCTCGTGTATGGAGAAGGAATGTAGTTCCTTGTCTGATCCTTAGCAGATACAGTAATGGCCTGAGGCAAAGGTCTTGGGGAGCTGTAGCGTTGGGTCCTCAGAGTCAAACGCTGTGGGTATCAGTGCCAAGGCTGTGAACTCCTCTCTGATGCCCTTGCCCTGGAGATACCCTGTGTTCCCCTCGTGTGACTGTTTGGTTAGCTTCCTGATGACATCATCCCCCTGTATGATAGCTCTTCGGTGGCACTGGCTCATGTCTTCCCTGGAAACAGTATACAAGATGCTGAACTTCTTAATAAGCTTGCTTGGCGTGAGACACAGCTTGTTCAACACCTCCTGAGCCCACATGTTCTGCCTTCTTTAACTCTGACCATTCTTCCTGGGGACCCTGCCCTTGAAAAACAACCTGCCGACCCAGGCGAGGGTACCACATACTTTATAGCAGCAGGGAAAGATAGCACGGGTGTAAGGGCCCTGGATGAAAGGGCACTGGCTACAGGCTGAGGCTACTGATGTAGTGAGATGAGACAAGGCCCGAGACAGAGACTGGGGTCTGCTGCCATCTTATGGTCAGCCTGAAACAGGGAAGGCCTTATGCAAGGGAGGGACAGTCACAATGGAATGTAAGGACTATTGTGTCCCCTGATGGACAGACAGAATAAGAAGAAGACTAAAAGAAAGTTGGAACAAGCATCAGGGCAAGAGATGACAGAGGCCTGGGACAGGAGGTGAAAAGGGATGGAGAAGAGGAGCCACACCAGAAGTCTGGTCAGGAAGTAAATTGACCCATCTGATCACTTTGGCTCATAATGCTCTAATAAGAATATGGCAGCCAGCATACCCAAGAAAGATGGTTTCCCAGGTTCCTATGTATGGTCCTTTTATTAGCCTAGTGGATGGCCATTCCCGCCTGATGACAGTCATTGCCACTAGACTGTGCAAACATCTGAGCCTTGACATTGGCCTGGTGCCCAAAAAAAGACTTTGGGCAGCTGTGCTCTGCCCTGGGGACTGACGGGGCTATTTTGAAAGCAGGCTGTGGACTCACAGACAGCTGCCAGGCATTCCCCGCAAGCCAACCTAAGCTCGCTGGCCCCACTTCAAAGCCAGAATAGCATCTGTCTGCCCTGGCCTCCGGAAAGGAGAGGTCAGCTCATGATGGCCAATGTGTATGGTTTGTTATATGGCTCCCACCAAAAGGCCAGTTATCCCAACGCTAGCCACCTTCCCCATCCCTGCCGCTCATGTATGCGTGTGCACACAGGAAAACATTCCATGCCCTGGGTTAAGGCAGGTAAGGAATCTCTCAGGAGATTTTGGGTTGTCAGTGCCTCTCTCGACTAGAAAACAGGAGAGTAAGCTTTCTTCTCTGGAGGACTTTGGAACTGACTAAGGAAGTGAAATGAGGGGTCCTAGTTACAGTGCTCCACACACTAGACTGAACCTCGATTACACCCAAGATTACCAGTAACAGACCCTGTCTCCTGATGTGTGCTAGGTCTTCAAACCAAGTTTGTTCCAAGGTGAGCTTTGGGGCCACGATAGGAACCTATCTGAGGTCTGTCCATGAGCAGACGCTCCCGGCCACCTCAGCCACTTCAGTTCTAACACAAACAAAGCAAGAGAAGAGCCAGCTCATCCCTCCCTCCCAATCACCTGTGACGGGAGAAAGCCCATGGTTCTCTTCGACAAAGATTAAATGGGACCAATCATCTATGGACTTGAAATCAAAGAAGAATTGTAGCAGAATGACACACATACAAAAACCAACAGTCGGTGGTTATGGGGCAGCAAATGCCAGTTGGCTTTCCATGATACTCAGACACAAGACAAGGCAGTCCACTGCAGGGATGCTCTACAAGTTCCAGGCATCTCAACAATACGGTCCAAGCAAAGGAGTTCTGACTGTTCGGAAGGATAAAATATTTTCCTGGCTTGCAGATGACAATTCTGTCAAATAACCCAAGAACACCAGACAAAAAAGTCAAAAAGGGAGGAACTTCTACCACTACCCCTGACCTGCGCAGGTGAGTTTCCTCAAGGGAAAGTGAAGGTGGAACCGGAATCTGCAACAGACAACCGTTCATACACACAGAACACAGGAGACGGGTCCTGCCACACCAAGCTCAGTAAACACGAGTTACCACTGGGAGAGATACCGCAAAAACCAACAGTTTGGCCTGTTAGGCTAGAAACGTGGCTCAGCTAAAAGAGCGCTGGGCTGGCACATACGAGGCCCTGGTTTGATGGCTGCACTATATAAACCAGGTGTGACATTATACAACTGTAATCCTAGCCCTTGGAGGTGGTAGCAGAAGGGCCAGAAGCTCAAGGTTATCCTTAGGTATATATAAAACAAGTTTGAAGCCAGCCTGAACTACGTAAGACCCTACATAAAAAAAATGCTACTCAATAATTTAGCATCTAACAGTGAACTAATATAACAATGCAACAAATTAAAACATTCCCAAGAAGAAAACTTACAAAAAACAAACCAATGAGGAATAAGTTTAGTAAGAAATGTATTTAAATTGAAAATTTAAACATAAGTAAGTAAGATGAAGACTATCCAGATTGTAGGGATGTACACCTTCCTCCAAGTCAAACAGTTCACTGCGGTCTTTATCACCTCACTGCCGTCCTCACCCCTCACTGCAGCCCTCACCCCCCACTGCCGTCCTCACCCCTCACTGCCGCCATTACCCCCCACTGCCGTCCTCACCCCCCACTGCTGTCCTCACCCCTCACTGCAGCCCTCACCCTTCACTGCAGCCCTCACCTCCCACTGCCGTCCTCGCCCCTCACTGCCGTCATCACCCCCCACTGCCGTCCTCACCCCCCACTGCTGTACTCACCCCTCACTGCAGCCCTCACCCCCCACTGCCGTCCTCACCCCT